TGTGTGTGTGTGTGTGTGTGTGTGTGTGTGTGTGTGTGAGCTGATGAAGTGGGTGTTCAGTTGCAGATTTGAGCTGGGAAGAGCTGGGGGTGAAGGTGGAGCTGCAGGGTGTGATGCAGGACGCTAGCGTGATGCGCATCAGCAACAACGTTCACAACAAGAACCGAAGCCTGCGCTGCGCCGCCGTGAGTCATACAGCTGCACCATTAAGCCATTCGTTTATTTAAATCTAATTAAGAGTCACCCTCCATTTTTGAACACAGACGTAGACGAACTCAAATTGTTATAATTCATGAACGCTTTGGAATACAGACCTAAAGCTGGACTCTTTATTTTAAAAAGATAAATTACTGCAGAAGTGGAGTCATTTCAAAATATTAAAGTTTCAAAAAGTATCTAAAAAGCTTACATTTACGTTTAATTTTTATTATTTTTTAATCCAAAATTGCTATAAAATTAAAGCCTTGTGAAGTTTGAGGTTCCTGTGAGATTTTATTTAGAGCGCTACGCCACAGACAGCCACCGGGTGGCAGCAAAACTCCATAAACTTCTATCAACAAATCACCACCAAATATGGAATCTTGAGACTTAGACTTTTCCGACCATATGTATTTTTTCAAGATTATAAAAGATTTAGGTTCTAAAAGACCATGATACATTTTGTAATATGACACTTGACTCCACCCACTGAGGGGAGGTGACCGCTGAAAGACTTTAAACTCCGATTAATGTCTGATTTAAAACTGGTTTGCACAGGATGAATTCTGAGGTTTTAAGCTTTCAATTGATATATCATTTATAAAGATTACTAAAATGTGTGATAGAGGAAAAAAGACAACGAATAAAAGAGCGCCGGTGACACTTAAGGGGTTTAATTACCTAATGTGCTGATTAATTGATCAAATTATTCTCAGATTAATGAGATTAATTAACATGCACATCAGAATAGTTATCATTGTGTTAATTTAGAAAACAAACACTGAATAGACATTACAAAAAAGCAGCTTTAGAAAGAAATATTTTAATTCAATATACAGAAATACAAATAAATAGTGAAATATGAAATGTTTTTAAAAAAGAAACGATGCTCTAAATATAAAAGTAAAAGCGGCAGTAGGTTACCAAGTGAAGCTTGTTTGAATGGCATCTGTATGTTGTTCGGGTCGTTCTGAAAAGCCTGAGCAAAGTCTGTCGTCAAAGTATTTCTGTATAATTGTCATTTATCATAATTATTATATGCAGTGGCTTCTCCTCCTTTTCTTAGAGATATTTAGAGCCCGTTTATCAGGGAGTGATGCTTTTGTTCTCTTGGACTCGTTGGATGGAAACGGGGCTTTATTCACAAATGTTTTATGCGATATTCCAGTCTTATTTAATTAGAATTTTGGGATGGAAACATAGCTAGTATGACCCATTTCAGGAGCTGCTAAAATTACATTTTAAAAGCAGACCGTTAGCATGTTTGGGTAAGAAACCGCTTCACAAACAGTCTTTTCAACTACACACTATTATTTCTGTCTTCCAGTCATTCATATCATCACAGAAATACTGGGATGAAAGTTAAAAAACTGTGTGTGTGTCTGTTTCTCTGTGTGTGTGCATCTGTCTGTCTGTCTGTCTGTCTGTGTCTCTCTGTGTGTGTGTGTGTCTGTGTGTGTGTGTGTGTGTGCGCGTCTGTCGGTCTGTCTGTGTCTCTCTGTGTGTGTTTGTGTGCTTGCATGCATCTGTCTGTGTCTGTGCGTGTGTCTCTGTGTCTGTTTCTGTGTGTGTGTGTGCGTCTGTCTGTGTGTGCGTCTGTCTGTGTGTGCGCGTGCGTGTGTCTGTCTGTCTGTGTCTGTGTGTGTGCATCTGTCTGTGTCTGTTTCTCTCTGTGTGTGTGTGTGTGTGTGTGTGTGTGTGTGTGTGTGTGTGCGTCTGTCTGTGTCTCTGTGCGCATGCGTCTGTGTGTGTGTGTGTGTGTGTGTGTGTGTGTGCGTCTGTCTGTGTCTCTGTGCGCATGCGTCTGTGTGTGTGTGTGTGTTACAGCACCAGCAGGCGTGTGACGAGATCATCGTGCTGCATCTGGGATATCTGAACTACACTCAGTACAAGATCAACGTCAGCTTCAGGAACCTGCAGGACGGCCTGAAGGACAAAATCAAAAACGTGACTTTTGTGGTGAGTTCAGATTTTAACACTGTCCTTCAAAAACATAATACACATGATAGTAGATCATTTGATGCTGGAAAATCAAAAACCTTCCATCATGTATAGTTTTTCACAAAATAAGTGACTACAAAAAGCAGGTCAAATGTCAAAAGTTTTGGTTTTAATGACAAAAGGATTCCAAGGAGTCAAGTCAGTGTATTTCTATAGCACATTTAGAGTTGTGCCAAAGTGCTGTACAACAAAACAACGCATATAAAAAGCATAACATGCATCATATGAAAAATAAACACATTAAAATAGAATCAGAGCAAAGTGACATCAAACCCTTAAACTGACATTAATCAAAAGCCAGAGAAAACGAGTAAGATTTGAGAACAGACTTAAAACTGTCTCGTGAAGTAGCAAGTCTCACATTTACAGGCAAACTATTCCAAAGTTTAGGAGCTGCCGCTTAACTCCACCAACCAGAGCAAAGCTATGCTCAAAACTCAGTTTAATGTGGTGCGATTCATTTGGGAAAAAATTATTAAAATCGGCATTAGAATGCAGTTATATGAGCCTAAAATTCAAGCACAAAATCATATGATGGAGTTTAGCAATATCGCATCAGCAAGAGTGCTGCTTTTATACAACAGTTCAATAAAGGAGTTCATAATGTGTTGTTTTAGACACAGTAGTGTCTGTTTTGCGCCGTTTCAAAGTCACAGCAGAACTGATGTGTTTCTGATCCACACACAGCAGTGATTCATAACCGAATGAATCCAGGGTTTTGAGTGAATCGAGTGAGTCGGTGATTCAGCGACATAACTGAGTGAATGATTCAATGACTCACTCATTCAGACAGTGATTCGCCGCCACCTACTGACGGTTTCATTTCATATTTAAAGTCTGATTTAATCGATTTTTTTCCCAATATTTCATATTCCAATATTCAATAAAATCATTTATTATCATTTATGCAATGTTGAATCAGAATATTCCTTTCTAAAGCTACTTTTCGTAATGCCTATTCAATGCTCTTCATTTAACACAATAATGACTTTATTTGTTAGTTTCTCAGCCCAAAGTGATGTGTGATTCATTTATTGGCACATCACGTAATTGATTACAAATTTATTTCCTGACAACCTTAAAACAAATGAGCTTTATTCACAAAACCTGTGTTGTTTGGATGCAGTGAGAGCAGAAATCATCTGCTCATCTTTGCGTTACGTCTCTGGTCATAATTCTGAGCTTGAAATCAGGATTAGAAATACTATATTGTCACACGTGTGAAAATGCACCGAGAATTAAACAAATATCTGTAATCTGAATGAGATCCAGACGGGAATCGTGTGTTTGTGCTGGTTTTCAGAAACGCTACGAAATGCACAAAGTGTGCCGCAAAACAGGCAGACCAGCTCTGAATGAGTTCAGCAGATGTGAAATAAGCTGCGTGCTCCAGGAATCGCAGCTGAGCCGTTTCTCTGTGTTGTGTGCTTCCTCAGTTCAAGATGTACAGCGCCACGTTCTCTCAGGTGGAGATCTGGTTCCGCTTCGTGTTTGTGGTGATGACCTTCATCGTGACCGTGAGTTACCGCCGCACACCGTCTGCATGTTTTGAGTGTTTCACGAGCGTCTGATGTGATGATGCTGTGTTTGTGCAGTGTGTGTTCGCTCACTCCTTACGCAAGTTCTCCATGAGGGACTGGGGCATCGAGCAGAAGTGGATGTCTGTTCTTCTTCCTCTGCTGCTGCTGTATAACGGTGAGACGCACGTTTCACTTCCTTTACATCACAACTGGATGATTAAAAACTAGTGCTGTCGAACAATAATCACATTCAAATTCACATATATGTGTGTGTGCTGTCTGTATTTATTATGTATATATAAATGCAAACACATGCATGTATATATTTAAGAAAATGTTTATATTTGTATATTTAATATTTATATATAATATAAATTATATAAATGTTTACATGTAAATATTTTCTAAATATATACTGTGCTGTATGTGTGTGTATTTATATATACACATAATCAATATACACAATGTAAACAAAAATGTGACCGTAAAGACATTTCTAACATTACATTAGATTTCTATTTCAGTCCTTTTGAACTTTCCTATTCAGCTGTGAATCCTGAAAAATAAAATGAATCACGGTTTCCACAAAAATATTAATGTTTTCAACATTGCTAATAATCAGAAATGTCTCTTGAGCAGCAAGTCAGCATATTAGAATCAGAGGTGTTTTTCTGAACCGATCCGATACCAAAGATTCGGAGTATCGGCTGATACGGATCCGACACCAGAGTTTCTATACCTCTGTGTGTTGACCTGATCATCTCTGTTCTGTGTGTTAAATACAATCTACTAAATATAGACAACTTCATTTTGAAGAAAAATAACAAATGAAAAAATGATATAATCATAATCTATGACAAAAATACTATTATAAACTAGGTCGGGGATAATTCAGTAGCAAACGTTATTCTAGAAAATCACGAGTGCACAATAATTTTATAAAATCTAAACATTTAGTGAAACAACATTACTTGGTGGGGAACAAATAAAAGTGAATAAGTGTAGGATTAAATCTGGTCAAATGTTACAATGCTCTTTGTATTGTAAAATACATTCTTGAAAAACAAGTTAATGTATTTATATATAAATATATACTATCAAATTAAAAGACGTTACATTTAAATGTATAGCACAGTGATGTTGCAGCAACATATGATAGTAAATATTTAGTGTATGTATTTAGAGTGTGTTCTTTCACGGCATGATTCAGTCTGTTAACACCTTTAGAATGAGCACAATATTCAAGACACGGGGGCAGAAAATGTGTATATTTATACCACTTCATATTGTTAATCAGTTTCACACAGCAATGCAATATTGTAACGCATTACTTTCCATAAAAAAGTAACTTGAGTAACGTAATTAGTTACTTTTTTAAGGAGTAACGCAATATTGTAACGCATTACGTTTAACAGTAACTTTCCCCAACACTGGTGTCTGATGTGCTGCTGTTGTAGATCCGTTCTTCCCGCTGTCGTTCCTGGTGAACAGCTGGTTTCCGGGAACGCTGGACGCTTTCTTCCAAGCTCTGTTCCTGTGTGCGCTGCTGCTCTTCTGGCTGTGTGTGTATCACGGCATCCGAGTGCAGGTACGCTCTGTGAAGGGCCCTCACTAGTGCACTACTCACCTGTCTGCTCTGCTCACCTGTGCTCTCACCTGCAGGGAGACCGGAGGTTCCTGAGCTTCTACCTGCCCAAGCTGCTGATCGTGGGGCTTCTGTGGCTCTCGGCCGTGACGCTGGGAATCTGGCAAACGTGAGAAACCGGCTGCTGTTTTCTGCTGTCACTGCTGGTGCCTTATGGGATTCTCATCAGATTTTTCTTCTTCTTAGGGTGAATGAGCTGCAGGATCCCACGTATCAGTACAACGTGGACATCCAGAACTTCCAGGTGAGTTTCTTTCAGCTCCACACCGATTGTTCCTGCTTAATAAAATAACATCTGTCCAAATATTTCAAATGTTTAATTTGTGACCCTGGAACACAAAACCAGTCATAAGGGTCAATTTGTTTTAAATTGAGATTCATACATCATTTGAAAGCTAAAGATAAATAAGCTTTCCATTGATGTATGGTTTGTTAGGATCGGACCTAACCCTAACCCAACGTCAAATTCTGAAAAATACAGTAAAGTTGCAGATTTTCAGATGATAAAAAAATGCAACTTGTATTACAGAAAATACAGTAAAACATCAAATTGAAGTCTTTTTGAAATATGTTGCAGCATGTTTCTGATGATAAAAACAAATGCAATTTACATTCCAGAAAATATGGAATATATATAGAAAAACTCTTTCCCCGCCAGTGTTTTTGAAAAAAAGTTGCCAGCCAGCGTTTTTGCTGATTTTCATTCAAATTTCATGGCCCCCAGAATATTTTGTTGTGTGAATATCTGAACACGCAATACATCACAATAAAATCATACCCTCTACTTTCAAAGAAAAAAAAATCTGTTTTATTCTAGCTTCAAGCATTGTTTTTTTAATCAACTCTTGAATGTAGGTAGGTTTCATTTTGAGCAAAAAGCTGAGAAAATCTTATTTTTCATCAAATACTGCATCTGGATCATATTCTGTAATATTATCAGAGCAAAGCTGCAGTAGATGGCTTCCATCAGCAAAGCTTGCACACTTTCTGGATCCACATTTCACTCGCTAACATCAGGCAGTTTTCATTTAGACGCGGTTAGTGTTGATGATCGCATTATTTTTCATACGCATGCGCTTACATCTGAGATCGCTGGTTTCTGCGTCTTCCTCGCCTGTGTTTTTGATCGAGTGATTCTAGACTCATTCAGGAGATGCGTAATAGCGCCCCCTAGCGTATAACAGCGAGAACACGGAAGCACGGAAAATAAAGTGTTTGGTGGGGAAAGAGTTCAATTCAAGTGTGTGTGTGTATATATTGTGTGTGTGTATTTGCTGCAGGGCATGAAGGTCTTCTTCCTGCTGCTGGTGGCGGTGTATGTGCTGTATCTGGTGTTTCTGGTGCTGTGTGCCTGCTCCGAGCTCAAGAACGCACCCTACACAGGTAACACACACACACACAGACAACACACACACAGAGTCACGTGCATGTTTGTGATCCTCGTCTGATTGGTTTGCTCAGATCTGCGGCTGAAGTTCTTGACGGCGCTGACGCTGCTGGTGCTGGTGATCAGGTCTGTCATCATTCAACACACACACACACTCACAAACACGCGCACACACACACACACACACACACACACTCACACACACTCAAACGCGCATACACACACACACACACACACACACACACACACTCAAACACGCACACACACACTCAAACGCGCACACACACACACACACTCACAAACACACACACTCTCTCACACACACACACACTCACAAACACACACTCACAAACACTCAAACACACACACACACACACTCTCACACACACACACACTCACAAACACTCTCACACACACACTCAAACGCACATACACACACACACTCAAACACACACACACACACTCAAACGCACACACACACACACACACACACACACTCTCTCACACACACACACACACACACTCACACGCACTCACACGCACACACACACACACACACACTCACACGCACTCACACGCACACACACACACACACACACTCACACGCACTCACACGCACACACACACACACACACACTCACACGCACTCACACGCACACACACACACACACACACTCACACGCACTCACACGCACACACACACACACACACACTCACACGCACTCACACGCACACACACACACACACACACTCACACGCACTCACACGCACACACACACACACACACACTCACACGCACTCACACGCACACACACACACACACACACTCACACACACACTCAAACGCACACACACATACACACTCACACACACTCAAACGCACACTCACACACACTCAAACGCACACACACATACACACACACACTCAAACGCACACACACATACACACTCACACACACTCACACACGCACTCACAAACGCACACACACATACACACTCACACACACTCACACACGCACTCACAAACGCACACACACATACACACTCACACACACTCACACACGCACTCACAAACGCACACACACATACACACTCACACACACTCACACACGCACTCACAAACGCACACACACATACACACTCACACACACTCACACACGCACTCACAAACGCACACACACATACACACTCACACACACTCACACACGCACTCACAAACGCACACACACACACTCACACGCTCTCTCTCTCTCACACACACCTGTGTAAATACACACTTTCACATGAGTGAGTTGTCATTTCCTCTTCCTGTTTCCTCAGTGTGGTTATTCTGTACCTGAGATTCGGCTCCAAGGCTTTGCAAGACAACTTTGTTTCCGAGCTTTCCACTCACTACCAGAATTATATCCTTTCATTCCAGATTCCCTCACATCTGATTCTTCTCTGGAAATCCATCGCTTTAAAACTAAAACGAAAAATTGTGTTAGAAATCCATTAAGAACAGAAAAATCGATCCTATTGTAGTTTTTATTAATATTTTGAATTAGTTTTTATATTTTCCAAGTTTTAGTAACTTTACTGTTTGTCGATATGTCTGTACGTTTTATTTTTATTTTTTAGAGCATCAAATTATACTAAACACCGTTGAAATAAAATAAGTTTGTTTTTTTATTTTATTAAGTTCTAGTTTTATATATATATTTTAAAATGTCTGTATAGTTTTTTATATATATATATATATATTAGTTAATTATAATAACCCTGGTTTAATGTCATGCTACTGTATTGCAGTGTTATTTTCAATTAGATTTTATTTTTTATAATTTTTTTCATTTTAATTTTAGTTTAGGTTTTAGTAATTTTTATTTTTGTCTATAGTGTTATTTATTATTACATGTAGTACTAGTTTTTAGTGTTTCTGAATGGTTTGTCCATGGTTTTAGTTAGCAGTAATAAGCCTGGTTTAAAGTGGTTCTCCTGAGTGTGTCTGCACCGGCGGAGTTCCTCTCCTTCTACGGCCTGCTGAACTTCTATCTCTACACGCTAGCCTTCGTCTACTCGCCCTCCACAAGCGCTCTGTACGGTGAGTCCATCGCTGTGTGTTTCTGCAGCACAGCTGGCCTTCGTCACGTAACCGCGTGTGTGTGTGTGTGTGTGTGTGTGTGTGTGTGCAGACTCGCAGCTGAAGGACAATCCTGCCTTCTCCATGCTCAACGACTCGGACGATGACGTCATTTACGGGTACGTCCCCACATCACGTCACTCATGCCATCCACACCATGCTTTCTGATGCTCCTGTGTGTGCGTGTTTCTCTGAAGGAGCGATTATGAGGAGACGCCTCTCCAGAACGGCCGCGCAATCAAAGCCAGCGCCAAATACCAGGATGAGAGCGGGAGCGACTGAAAGCGGAGTGACTCCGGATCGCTGGTGCTCACCGAGCACATGTATATAGACTAACAGTGTGTAAATATACGAGCCCATGTATTTTTAAAGCTACAGTGGCGTGTTTGTGAAGTCATTACACCTGATCTCAGATCAGTGCTGCAACACTGCTGGGCTCAGTGGCCTGTTTCACCTCCAAATTAAAAGGGGAAAAATCAATCGTCTGTATTTTCATTTGCATTTGAGATAATTAAGCACATTTAACCCCGAGATAATGAAAATCATCCTGATATGCTCAATTCATTAACACTAATAATACCTTGCTGTAAGATGTGCTTTTATACACGAGTTAAAACAAACATGTTAAAAAGGTGTTAATTTTCAATTCCTATGAAATACTTCTATAAAGTTAGATTTTTGTTTGCAATGCAGTAATAACTGTTTAGGATAAATGTGCTTAATTTTCATTTAAAAAAATTTAATTAAGGGTCTCAAAATATTTCATTTTTTTGGTTTTTGAGTGATTCATATTGTGTATTTCTAGACAGTGTTTATGTGATTGGCGCAGTTGTTCCTCATCGATCAGACTCTGTTAATAACGTGTGAGGACGCTGCTTATGTGCATGTGTTTCTGTTGATTTCTGGCTGGTTTGAGTTGTTTCTGGAGCTGCTGTGAATGTGTGTGTGCTTCTGGATGAGAATATTGAGCCTCGTGTTTCTTTGCCTTCACTGGATGTCGTCGTGTATCGTTTTTCAAGAAGCCTTCTTTTCTCACATTCCTGGTTTATTGTGCTTCTCTCTTGTTTTGGTGTATGTCTGATGAATATTTTGTGGGTCTGAATCACGCCCAGGGTCCCGCTGAGGACCGAAGCACCTTGTTTGTGTTTTGTGAAGCTCTGTTGTTTCTTCTGAACTGAGCTGTGAGGACGGGACTCTAGAGCGGTGCTGTGTTTTACGCATTTCTATTGACTCGTGTTTGTTTGATTGAGTGGTTTATCTGTCCCATGTGTCGCTGGGCTTTATGAAGTGTCCCAGAAGCACTGTGTGATGACTGTGCCTTTCCACGTGTACATGAGCTCAGTCCAGACGAGGAGCTCTCCTTCACTCGCACTGCTGTGACGTCTGAGCGAATGTGGAATAAACTCTTCAGACGGATTTAAGAGGTGAATTCATGTGCTTTTATTGAACAGGAGAGTTGAATGCAGGAATACTGAAGGTTTCATAAGAAGCGGCGTGTGTTTGATGTGACTCTAGATGGCGAGTCCAAACACACTGACGATGCAGTACAGGTGTTTGTTTTCCCATCGGACCGAGCAGCTGCCTGCAGAAGAGACCAAACACACACACGTGTGACCCTGGAGCACAAACCCAGTCATAGCTTTCCAGTGCTGTATGGTTTGTTAGGATCGGACAATATTTGGCTGAGATACAACTATCTGGAAATATTGAGAAAATCATCTTTAAAGTTGTTCAAATGAAGTTCTTAGCAATGCATATTACTAATCAAACATTAAGTTTTGATATATTTACGGTAGGATATTTACAAAATATCTTCATGGAACATGATCTTTACTTAATATCCTAATGATTTTTGGCATAAAAGAGAAATGTATAATTGTGACCCATACAATGTATTGTTGGCTATTGCTACAAATATCCCCCAGCGACTTAACACTGCTTTTGTGCTGCAGGGACACGCATTATCCTGAATTCTAAAAATAAATGAAATAAACTGCAACAGAAGGGCAAAGAAGTTTTACTTCTAATAATATAACTGTGTAAAGTCCAGAGATGGGACAAAAATTCAAACAATATTGTACTTTTTTGTTTGTGTAGTCAGACAGATTAGCAATTGTAAGAAATGTTTAACATTAGGTGATATTTTTGTAACATCAAACTACATTTATTTCTGGAAATGAATGACCGAATGAAGAATAATATCATACTGCAATATTCCTTTAGCATTACCTCTAAAAATAAATGTATAATTAATCAAATACACTGTGCTTCTAATAACTTTGGCTAATATTCAGGCAAGATTCTGTCAAGATGAACAAACGTCCTTCCTAGAGCGTTATTAGAACATTAATAATGTTTCTGTTAGATGTTCATCTGATGTTTTTAAATGTTGCTACTTGTTTCAGACCTGAATTCTATAAAAATAAACTGCAACAGAAGGGCAAAGAAGTTTTACTTCTAATAATATAACTGTGTAAAGTCCAGAGATGGGACAAAAATTCAAACAATATTGTACTTTTTTGTTTGTGTAGTCAGACAGATTAGCAATTGTAAGAAATGTTTAACATTAGGTGATATTTTTGTAACATCAAACTACATTTATTTCTGGAAATGAATGACCGAATGAAGAATAATATCATACTGCAATATTCCTTTAGCATTACCTCTAAAAATAAATGTATAATTAATCAAATACACTGTGCTTCTAATAACTTTGGCTAATATTCAGGCAAGATTCTGTCAAGATGAACAAACGTCCTTCCTAGAGCGTTATTAGAACATTAATAATGTTTCTGTTAGATGTTCATCTGATGTTTTTAAATGTTGCTACTTGTTTCAGAACGTTAAAAGAACACACAAGCGTAACATTCCCATAATATCTGCAAAATGATCAAACGGAATGTTTCGTTCATGTTCGCATAACCAAGAAAAAGGTTTTTAAAACATGAAAAAACCTGGACGTTTGAAGACCATTAGAAGTAACTTTTTAATATGAACACCAGAACACATTTTTCAGTTTTCTGCTGGGTCAGAGGTGTGTGTGTAGAACTGCGGTTCACATTTCTATTGGAATAGAACTCAGGACGGCTCTTACCATCTGTAGTATTGTCCCAGAAACATGACGAAGCCGACTGCAGTCCTGCACCGTTTTTCTGCATTATAATACACGTGACTGATGGAGAGAACAGAGACGATCATTCTGCAGTAACATCATAACCATGAGCTTCAGACACAAATGAAGATGTGTTCACCCTCAGATCACGATGAGTTTGTTTCTTCGTCAGGTTTGGAGAAATGTAGCATTGCAGCAGTGTCTCACTGCAAGTGAATGGGTGCCGTCAGAACGAGAGCTGATAGAAACATCACAGTAACCCACAGCACTCCAGTCCATCAGTGAACATCTGGAGAAGACAAAAGCTGAGACACATCCAGCATTAAGACGCTTTTAACTAAAATACATTGAGTTCATAATCCATAATAACGCTTCCTCCAGTGAAAAAGTGCATCTGCTGTTGTCTCTCGCATCAAAATCCAGCCACATGTGTGTTTAGAGCTGTTTAAACGCTGCTTGATCTGTGCAGATTTCTCTCCTGATTCACACCAGAACACTGACTCACTGCAGGAAGAGTTATTATGGATTATAGACTCTATGTATTTTAGTTAAAAGCGTCTTAATGCTGGATTAGTTTCAGCTTTTGTCTTCTCCAGATGTTCACTGATGGACTGGAGTGCTGTGGATTACTGTGATGTTTCTATCAGCTCTCGTTCTGACGGCACCCATTCACTTGCAGTGAGACACTGCTGCATTTCTCCAGACCTGACGCAGAAACACACTCCTCGTGATCTCAGATGAACACATGATCAGCAGATCTTGGTGTGTGTGAGGCTGAGAGGCTGACCGATGTATTTGAAGGGTTTGCTCAGTTTGCTGAGCTGCCCGAGGCTCTGCTCCACCACGCTGGACACCCACTGGTTCACACGCTTGTGCTCGTACGGGTTTCTGCCGATCACTGCTTCCAGAGACTGGACACAGAGAGAAGAAGCGCTCGCACAAATCACTCAAACACGAGACGAGGCTCAGAGACGACGCGGAGAGACGAGCTAACCTCCTTCACGATGCTGCTCACTTCATCCACGACGAACGCCGTCTGGAGGAAATCAGACGATTAAACACACCATAACCCGCTGTGTTAGCTCCGCTGTAGCTCAGCTTGAAGCCTCAGTGAAGCAGCTGTATATACTGCACTGTGCATGAAGTAAACACGCCGCTAGCTCCTCGGTTAGCAGCTGTTAGCGAGCAGCTCCACCGCGGCGCGAGGAAGAATACAGGCAGGGGATGCGATACATGACTTCTTAAAGCAAACATCTTCTGATCGAGTTTCTTTCAAACATTTGATCGTCTTTAACTCACCTCTTCCGCGCTCTGATCGTCGTCCATGTTTCGTCGTCGTCGTCGTTGTTGTTGTTGTCACGCGAAGCCTCGGCGGTTGTCATGGAGATGACGCACACGTCACGACGCAGAGGCGACGTATTCTATCTGAACGCGTGTGAATGACATGAATTACAGACGGCTGAAAGATGTCTTGTGAATCCAGTGTCATTGTGGTGTTTATTCCAATTTCCAAATAACGATGGCTTGATTTAAGTTCTTGTGCTTCTAGGCTTGCATAGCTTCATCCTCAGGATGTTATTATTTATTATGAACATCCAGATGCTGTTATCTGCTGAATATGTTGTTAATGCAACAGTGCTCGAGTCTCCAGTCTTTCCCCTTTTTCATCTCATTACAAGTAACAAAACAGTGTCACATTGTTTCTGTGCATTATGAAAACTGTTCTAAGAAGTGTTGTGCTCTTATTGTTGTGCTTTCTCTGTGTGGATCATAGCACCACTCCATCATATTAGTTTCCTGCATTCAAATAAATAACATTATACCAGAACATTACTTCCAGGCTCTTCACTAACTCTCCACATTTTCAGATGCATCATTTTGATGGTGGTTTTTATTGGTCATGTGGTATGATATAAAGGTAATGTCATGCAGTCTTTAAGTGTGCAGATTACTGACTGTTTACAATCTTGCTGCAAACATCTCTCTTACTGGAGGTATTAATCTGTCAGATAAGAAATGTATTAATTCTTAGGTCAGAAAGTGTTATTCGTGATATCAGGCATTATCCACACGCACAGCACAAGTGTCAAGATTACAAAAAGGTAAATCAACATACAGAAATAGGCTATATACATCTCACCGTGTCAAATTAATAATAACAGCATATATCAAGCACCAAAGAAACAAGCAGATACATGAAGAATATTACAAGGCAGCAATAAAATGCTCTTTTAAGCATCTGTAGATGCGCTTCACGTGTGTGTCCAGCAGGCGGAAGTGACGCGCAAACAGCGCTCATGACGCATCACGCTTCCGCTGCAGAATCATGGGTAATGTAGTTTTCACCAGGAATTCAACATGGTTACTTAAAAATGCCGTTTAAACACGCGAACTGATGTCTTCAACAGAAGCATAACAACATCGCAGCTCTCAGGATCTCTGTCATTAAAAGTTTACACGTTATCGTTAAAAATCAATCCCACAATGGCTGAATATGAATGGAATTTTTACTTCCGGAACTCGACTGTTTATATTTTCTGTATTAAATATGCTAATCTATTTTTTATTTCTAATAATAATTCAATTAATCAAACTTATGGAAGATGATTCGCACTCTACCCGAAGGATCATTTCAGGCGTACGGACGAGCTTTTGTTCGATAATCAAATAAAAGTCCATTTAGAAGTATTTATGGTGCTCTGAAACATTTGTTTGTATGATGGGCAAGTATCACATTCACAAGATCCCTTCTGTTTAAACCCAACTGTAAAGCATTAGCTTCAGATTTATTATCATCACTATAATGAATATTTATAAAATATATATGAATAAAAATGGCTATTGTGTATGCTTCCACGTGTTGTTGTTCTGTGCAGTGTTGTGTTATTGTGGAATTGAAGTTTTGCATATGAAAAGCGTTGTGCTGCTCGCTGAGTGTCGCCCTCTAGAGCCGCGGGTGCGCTACTGCAGCTGCGCGACACTTCAGCAGCTTACACTCAGTCACATCACACCCGATACAGCCGCTGAAGGACGGGCCGCTCATGAAGGATTCTCATTCTCTGCTAGTGAACATTTAGATCTGTGAGCATCGCGGATCAGCGCGTGTGTGTGTGTGTGTGTGTGTGTGTGTGTGAGCGAGAGACAGCATCATCATCCTCCTCATCCTCCTCATCATCATCATCCAGCGGAGGACAAAGACGCAGAAATGGGTCACAGCAGCGGCTGATCTCAGGGTAGGTGTCTGATCTCCATCATTCGCTCATTGTGTTCAAATCAAAGCGAGATTTCACACGATGAACGTGTTTGTGTTCGCGAACCGACTCTGGTTCTCTCTGTCTGATTCTTCGCTCGGGTTCTGGGGTTTGTCGACACGGATAACGGGACATTGTGTGACTCGCTCACTCTTTTGTTGATCGTGTCGATGAGCGAGAACAACCAGTCGTTCATTTCCTGAACGTGACGTTCACTCTTTAAACCAGCTAACCTGGCTTTAATAGAAATTCGGGCTGATGGTGGTTTTTAGGTGTTCTGTGTTTCGTAAGGGTTGCATCACGATGATGGCCCACACACACGGACACTCTTCCAGTGATGCTCAGTCTCCATGGCGACCAGCGGCAGCATCAGCACCACATCGCATCACATCACAACACATCACATCATCATCACAGCACATCGTCACATCAACACATCACAGAATATCATCATATCACCATCACAGCACATTATCACATCAGCACAGCACATCAAAGTCACATCACAGCATAGTATAGCAAATCACATCACTACAGCACATCACCACAGCATCATCTCATCATCATCACATAACATCACATCATATCACATCATATCATCACATAATCACATCGCATCACTTCCATTGTCCTCATTTGTAAGTCGTTTTGGATAAAAGCGTCTGCTAAATGTCAAAATGTAAATGTAGTTATCACATCACATCAACACATCACAGCTCGGCGCTCCCACTGCATCTCATGTTTTTAAATGAAGAAAGTGCTCTTTGTGATTGGCTTTCGTTTCTTTTCTTTTTTAATTAAACTATGCATACATGATGCTTTTTTGTTTAGAATTGTTTAAGCAACTTAATTAAGTATATTTGTTTTATGCACTTTTTCACAGATAATAGTGTTACTTTATTGTTGTAATAAACGTGCATTAGTAATATTTAGCTCTTGTGGCCTCAGGCTTTTTTTCACCCTAGCTGAAATTATGCCTTTTCAATTCAAATATTGATAACATTTAAGTGCAAAATTCGAATGTAGTTGTTCAGCCGTTTTGAGCGCCCTCACAGTGCTGTTCATCTGCGTCTCTGCTCTCACAGGGCTGAAGTGTAATCTGGTGGTGTATAAACCAGCGGAGCGGTCCGGGCATCTCAACTGTGAGCTCTTCCACTGTCCGAGCGAGAGAGACTGTCCGCTGATGACAGCCAGCGCCGGAGTCAACACCTACAACATATTCAAGGGTGAGCAGAGCCACAGCCACATCAGCAGTCATGCTTCTGTTTTATCAGACAGTACGTCATTGGCGTGGTTTTTTGGGGATGTCGCCTCAGTTCTTCTGATTCTTCATGTAATCGCAGACGGACTGGATGATGATCAGATCAGATCTCTGTGTGGAGCGCTGGCTGGTGTTCATACAAAAATATCACTGGATTATTACAATTAATGGCAAAATGAATGTTTGGAAATGTAAACTGATCTACTGACACACTACAGCAAAAGAGAGACATAGAAATGTACACACATCTTCATTCTGCTCTTAATGCATCGTTTGTCCTTCTCAAAATCATACAGTCATTGTTGGAAAGGGTTAAAATGCACAAAAATGCTGGAAAACCATAGCATTTGTGGGAGCTGGAGGATTTTTCTGAAGAACAGCAGGCAGTTTGTGTGGGTGTGTGTGTTTGTGTTTGTGTGTGTGTGTGTTTGTGTGTGTGTGTGTGTGTGTGTGTGTGTGTGTGTGTGTGTGTGTGAGTGTGTGTGTGAGGTCACTCATGTCGAAAATTAGGTATTTTAATAGATCTCCTGTTATGATGTGAATCACACTGTGGGTGTGTGTGCGTGTTTTTGTGACAAATGAGGACATACATTTGTATAATGACAAAGGTATGACAGGTATTACAAGGAGAAGGTGACTTTTCAGGACATTACCCCATGTCCCCACTTTTCAAAACGCTTATAAATCACACAGAATGGAGTGTATTGAAAATCTGAAATAGCAGAAAGTCTCCTGTGAGGGGTAGGTTTAGGGGTAGGGTTGGTGTAGGGCAATAGAATATACGGTCTGTACAGTATAAAAACCATTACGCCTATGGAGAGTCCCCACTTCCCCCCTAAACAAACCTGTGTGAGTGTGTGTGTGTGTGTGTGAGTGTGAGTGTGAGTATGTAGTGCATGTGTGTGTGTGTGTGTGTGTGTGTGTGTGTGTATTTATATGCTATACAGACAAAAATATTGACATGGGACACCCCCTTCTAATGAACAGGTTTGACTACTTTAGTAATTTCCAAGAGTACAAATCTTAATGTTTAAGCTATTCTAGGGAATTGTGTGCTTCTAATTTTATAGCATCAGTTTGGACAGGAGCCTTTTCTATTCTAACACGACAATGCCTCTGTGTATAAGGCAAGGTTCAGAAAGAAATGATTGATTGAGTCGGTGTGGAAGAACTTGACTGGTCTGCTCTGACTTTAAATGCAGACCTTGAGCCAAAAACTCATCATCAAACACCACCAGTTGGGTTAGGGTTAGTTGAATTAAAATGAAAATAAAAAATATTAAAACTAATTCAGAATATTCATTTAAAAACTACAATAGTATCTTCAGTGATACTAAAATAACACTCTTTGGTTTCTGCTTTTGATTTGATTTTTTCAGGTTTAACTCATCCAACAACTAAAGGAAGTGGAAGAATTACAGCCAAACCTGCAGCGCCTCAGCCGACCATGACCATGACTACACCCACAACAACTACAACTACACCCACAACACCTGCGACTGCACCCGCAACTGCAACTACAGCCACGACTACACCCACAACAACTACAACTAGACCCACGACTACACCCACAACACCTGCGACTGCACCCGCAACTACACCCACAATTGCAACTACACCCGCAACTACACCCACAACCACAACTACACACGCAACTACACCTACACCTACAACTACACCCACAACTACAACTACAACCACAACACCTGTGACTACACCCGCAACTACACCCACAACTACAACCACAACTACACCCACGACACCAGCACCAACAACAACCAGCACCACCTCCAGCAGCAAAGCCACTGAAGCAGCGCTGACCGAGTCAGAATCACCCGAGATGCTGGAAACCGTCGCTATGACGACCACATCCACTACCACGGCAACCAGCACCACACAGTCCTCCTCCACTAAAAGCAGCAGCACTAAAGCGCCACGGACACCCATCAAACCCAGCCGACCCAAGAAACCCAGCAAACCCTCGAGACCAGAGATGCATTCAGTGAAGCCCGTCAGAGCCACGACGCTCCCGACGAGCAGCACACCTGCAACCACAACCACAACCACGACCACAACCACAACTACAACCATGACACCTGCAACCACAAGCACAAGCACAACTACAAGCACAGCAGCGGTGATTGAGCTGGAGAGCAACCCGAAGCACCGGAATTTCAGTCGTCCCATTCTGTCTCTTCCAGGGAAGCCCAAGGTGTCTCGGGTGATGTGGAAGAACAGCCTGGTGGCCATCGTGGTGATCACACTCGTCTTCCTCGCGCTCATCCTCTCTCTGGCGGCCCGTAAAGCCATGGAGTCGTTCGACAGACGCCACTACACCAGACTGGAGCTCAACGACCTGCACTACGAGGTTTAAACGCCAGCGACGCCACAGTCCAGTGGAGAAGTGTGTTTCCCGTTCGCTCTCTGGGGAAAAAGCTTTGTGTTTTAATATTTAGGCTGTTTGGTGTAGACACTGAACGCTGTCGACGCTTCATCTGTGAATGGAGATTGAAGGAGAGAAATCAAAAGCAATACACTGAACTCAGGTGGAGTGAGATGGTGAGCAGCATCACTCCTGCACGACGTCTCTTTGGCTCATGTTTAGTTTTCTCTGGAGAAACATGGGTAAGGACGGGCTCCGCTGAGTTTCTTTCCCTGTGTTTTCCGGATCCAGAGCACAGATCTCCTTCACTAATGGATGTGCACCTCTATCATGTGCTTTAGTTCACGCGAGATCCTCACATGCGTCTCATGTTTTCACTGTGTTTTGATCTTATTCTGCTTCGGTATTTTCTAATCTGTTATTATATGTTTGTTGTTGGTGAGCCTTGGCTTTTACAGACACCTTGAGATTAATGTGATTGTTTCTCTTGCAAGAAATAAAAATGAGTCTTTTTCAGTATTTAAAAGATTTGTTATTATATTCTGATTTAAAAAAAAATAATAATAAATGAAGAGTGCTGAATTGTATTGGTTCAGAGTTATGCAAATACACAAGCAACAGTAAATGACAGACAATAATGTTTCAAAAGCTCTTTTAAAATACTTGTTAGTGCAAACAATGATTAATGCTGTTCTTTTGAACTTTCTGTTCATCTGTGAATCCTGAAAAATAAAATGTCTCACAGTTTCCACAAAAATATTGTGCAGCACGACTGTGTTCAACATTGATAATAATCAGAAATGTTTCTCGAGCAGCAGATCAGCATATTATACTGATTTCTGAAGATCATGTGACACTGAAGACTGGAGGAATGATGCTGAAAATACAGCTGCGCATCACAGAAATACATTACAGTTTAACAGAGATTCACAGAGAAAACAG